GTCATTATCTTCGCCGCATGTGAGATTAGGCTGATGGTCCTGTAATCGCCGCACTTCTTGGAATTCTTTTTCTTCTGTAATGGAATCATTGTTACTTCCAGAAAGTCCTTGGGCCACTCACCGGAGGTGTATATCTTGTTAGCGAGTCTAGTAAGAACCTTCACTCCTTTCTCTCCAAGTTCTTTCAATAGGTCCGATGGGATTTCATCATCTCCCATAGCTTTTCTTCTTCTCATATCCTTTATGGCCCTCTCTACCTCGCTCTTCAGTATCTCTGGACCTTTGCCGACCTCCTCTACGTCTTCTTCTGGCTCCAATTCCATCTCCTTCTCATCCAGTCGGTTGGCCTTGTCATAGAGCTAGCAACAAATAAGAACAAGAAAATGGATAAGAGGAATATTTAAATTTTGTTGTGCTTTCAGTTTAGAAGAACATTCACTATCTCAAAAACTGGCCTGGCTCCTGTCTGACCAAGAGCATCTTCTCTCATGTTTTGAGAAGTATGCATACTTATGCCAGCAGAAATATGGAGAAGCAACACTCATTTGTTTGAGGGCAGTGGAGCAAAATCAGCCATCTTTACTCACAGAAATAGATCCCTGTTTGGTACGTAATTGCGTAATTTGAAGCAGAACTTGATATTGCCAAGGCTGTCTAGTTTCTATTCTGTTTGCTGACACCACAATTTGAAATTGTTTCATTCTCATGGTTTTGTGTTTTATATTTGCTGAGTATTAGTCTGTATTAAAAATTAAGTGTCAAGAAGAGTGAGAAGGTCTATTTAAAAGCCAGATTATCAACAAGAAATGCACTCAGTTTTTGTGTGTCAGCCATAACACTGTACAACGGTATTTTAAATACGGGCGTACCTCGGAGACATTGAAGGTTCGGTTCCAGACCACCGCAATAAAGCGAGTCACACAATTTTTTTGGTTTCCCAGTGCATAATAAAGTTATGTTTACACTATACTGTAGTCTACGAAGTTTGCAATAGCATTGTGTCTAAAAAACAATGTGAGAACATTGCGAGAATTACCAAAATGTGACACAGAGACATGAAGTGAGCACATGCTGTTGGAAAAATGACACCGATAGACTTGCTCGATGCAGGGTTGCCACAAACCTTCAATTTGTAAAAAACGCAATATCTGTGAAGCGCAATAAAACGAGGTATGCCTGTATACGCACACATGGAAAAGAATGGATATGGCTCTCTGTCAGAAAAGAGAGAAGGGAATCATACAGATCATTTGGGATCAAATCCATATTCAAATGGTTACCTTTTTTCTCGATCTTCAATAATTATATTTTATGGCTTGTGTGATTTCTGGGATTATGTACTGCAATGTAAAAGACCATAACATTGTATTTATTACATGTTGAAATATATTGAAACTTTTTGTGTTAATATCATGTATGATAAAGATTTACACAAGTAGGGAAGTCTAATTTTGAATAATTTATTTCTTACATTGCATATGGTGTCTCATTATGGATCTTACTTATTTACTCTAATTTTTTTACAGTATCTTAATACATGGAATTTCAAACCATTTAACAAAACTCATAGAAGATGTTCATCATTTCCTGAAACACAGTATAGTGTTTGGTGTACTGGAAGAAATAAGAACACTCATTTCAGGCTTTTGAAGCAGGCTTCAGAAGGATCGGAGCAGAAAGTAGAGACTGATGCATCTTCATCAAGTGCAGTGCTGGCAAATGAGAACTCTATAATATTAGTTGGAGAACATGATGCAACGGTTCAGGAAGACAGCTATGTTCAAGATGAGATTTTGTGTGATGAGAATGCAAGGTGGAGAAAATCTGTGACTGATGGTATTTCAAAAAATAAAACATGTAGGAATTTACAAGAAGGAAGTGCTGATGTAATAATAAAAGAGGCTGGTGAGTTCAAGCCTTGGTCAAGTTTACCAAATCTTACTGATTCAGATTCAGCAAATAGCTCTCGAGCAAGAGGTGCAACTACAGATGTACAGGAATTGCCTCGAACTTCTAGCAGTGCACCAGGGAGTTTTTCACAGTTGAGAACAGGTAGTCAAACTCTCCCTTCTTCCCCAGCTAAATTTGTTCTCCATTCATCTGAAAATTTTAGTTGCAAATATTTCCTGCCAGAGTCTTTGAAATCCAAGAGCATCAAAACTCAGTCTGCAAATCAAAATCCACCAGCTTCAGAATCTTTTGATTTGTCTCCTAGTGTTCTACAGGTAGACTACTCATCAGATCTTCATTCAGAGGCACCACCTATTGCAACTGAACAAAGTATACGTGTCATGCAAAGCTATAACAGGGATTGGAGACCTGTACCACTCAGGAGTTTTTCAAAAAGTACCTTTATTAAAAAGCAACCCAGGTCAAAAGATGATTATGGAGCAAAACTGACTAGAAAATGTAGCACATCAAGTGGTACCAATGCCGAAAATAGTGGTAGCTCAGACACTCTTAATCCAGAAACAAATAACTCAAGTGATGAAAGTCAGCCTTCTGTTTTGAGGGTTGTGCCTGAACTTATTATGCCATGTGTACGTCCTTCGGATCTAAAGCTTTCAGTTCGATCCTGGGATGAAACTGATGGTTCATGTACTGAGACACAAGCTTCTTCATCTGTTGTAATTACCAGAGGGAAACAAGATGCAGTGACAAGAAGGAGAAAGACAGTCATTGTTGGGTCTGCACCTGAATGTGCTGGTCAGTGGCTGAGTGATGAGACAGTGAATCACAGAGGTGGGCATTTGAAACTGCAGCGGAAAAGTTTTATTGAAAGTGGAGGAGGAGATATTCTCCCTATGGCAACAGGTTTCTTTCCTCGACCAACAGAGGGACAGAGTCTCACAAGCTTCCTATCATCAGGGCAGTTCTCACGGCCTTCAGCTGAGTTGGACCGGGAAAATGCCCACTTCAGTATTTGTGAAGCTATGATTACTGCTATTGAACAGGTCAGTATACATGCTTTGTTTTTTATGGAACATAACCTTGTCTTTTTTCACCATGAATTTTTCTTCTGTACTCAATCCTAGGAATTGTTATTAAGATTCTTCAACCATGTGCCATCAGCATGATAGCCTTTGGCATATGATTTCTAGTATATATTATGTGATTTCTCTGTATAATTGCGACTGACATGCATTGATTTGAATTGTATAAAGATGTATAAAGAGGTAAATCTGGAGGAGTGTAAAATGTTCTCTACAATCTGTTGGTGTTGAAACTTCCACTGAGACATGTCTGTTGTCAGAAAGTGTTTGAATTCTACTATCTCTGTCTTTGTGGGCACCATGTAGTTAACTCTTATTGTATTACTGTAATGAAATTTGTTCAAAAAATTCTTCATTTTTACAATTAAATGGCATTATAAAATAGTTTGCTCATGGATGCAAAACTGCTTTATAATAACATTGAGTGAAAAGGCTTGTGAATTACAATATAGCAAGCTTACAGTATTATAAATTAATAAGGTTGATTACTGTCATCTGTGTTGTTGCACTATGTAGTCTCAGATATTGACAGATATTTCATAGGTGCTTACTAAAATGAGTTGTCTGAGTGTTGAAGACAGTAAGCACCTCTGAAGTTTTGGTTAATTTTTATGAGACTACATGGTGCAACAATCCAGAAGATAGTCAACTTTATGTTTATCACTGTGAGAACCTGAAACATCTCAGTTAATTTAGATCTTCAGGCACTATGTTCTATGTGTTTTTGTAACTAGATTAGGTAAATGACGAAGCACTGAGTTGATCATTTGAAAGCCTGTAAGTCTTTTAATTTTAAAGCTCATTGAAGTTTTTCATTGTATTATACCATCTCACACAACCAGAATATGAATTTGTAAACAACTTGCAGTATACATGTGTGGTGTGGTATAAATGTGTGCAAGTGTAACTAAGTAATTTTTATTATGAAGAAGTTTACAGTTGCATTATTTATCAGTAAGGGAAGTAATAAATGCCAATGAATTCCCAGCAGATCCATTAAAATATCAGTCTTTTCATGTACTGTGTGAATATTTGATTCCTTTTTGTGCTGCTGTAATTATCCAGACAGTTAATTTCTTCAAACTAACTGTGATTTAAAAGGATTAGCATTCATTACCATTTGCCACAGAATATGAGACATGAGGTTCTCACGGCAGTGAGATTGTTGATGGTATTTTCTACAGAACTGCCTGGAAAACTACAAGTTGACATGCCACAGTATTTTTTTTGGTAAAGTGTGTTTAACATGTTAAATACCATTTTTAAGACTTATTTCCCTTGTGTTCCTAAAAGTAAACGATTTGTTTTTATAAATGTTACAAGGAACTTGGTACATGAACATAAAATTCCAATCATATCTACCTTGTGTCCTTCAATTTTTTATCCAGAGGATAAGTCTTTTATAGCTGCATTTTTATGCACTTTGTGGTTAATAGTACAAATGCCTTTGTGTTCATGAACAATAAATAAAGATGAACATTTTTGTTCTCTGCTGTTCTCTTATTCACATGTTTGAGCACATTGTAGCTACTATTTCAACTTCAGAATTTTATTTACATTTTGTAAAATGTGCTGGAGTTTTCTTCTTCATAGCACTAATCTGAGATCCTTTAAATGCACACTGAGTTTCAGATCTTAATTCTGTGTCTTAAAGGGTGTGTTAAATTGAGAGTTTTTTCTATTCTGAAGAATTTTAACATATTATTATAATGTTGGTACTTAAAGCAAGAAATATGATTTTTATTACATTCAAACAAAATTGTAACAGTTACATTTTTGAGCATAGAAAGTAATCTGTGTTAGTTGTGGTTGTGTGTCTGAATATAAAATTTCTAGTGTTGCAACTTTCTGTGATGTGGCATTTTCAAATATGTATCATGATTCTGAAAACCAATCTCATTGCTGTTAAAGGAAAAAATCTCAGGTTTTGAAAATTTGTATGGGAATAGGATAAAAAGTTATATAAATGTGACACACAGAAATACTCTGCTTTTCTTGGAGTAGGTGAAATGTAATCGCCAACTCCGTATTGTGGAGGACACGGGAGAAGTTGGTGATGAGAGCGATGAAGAAATAAACCACTTGAAGCAACGTATCCGAATGCGCCGGCGCCAGCGTCAGGAGGAGAAAAGGCGCCATCTTATACCCATATCGCTGCTTAGTGATGGTAGGACAGACAGTAAGTATGTAAGGCCAATTAATCTGTGGGTTGGTGGGAGTGAAGTGACAGCTGGTGCTACCCACAAGCTACACTTGAAAAATGTTTGGTGTAATTTTGTCTTCATAACTACTGCATCCACCAAGCAAGTTTATGGCATTTAAATATTCTGTTCTTTCACTACCTAGAAATTATTTTCTTTCATCAGCTACGACAACAGACCAAAGTGTGAGCCCCTTATCATCTTCCCCTGGTACACCATCCGAGAGCATTTCCACTGATGATGTTGATGATTTAGAAGTGGATGAGGTTAAGAATTTGGCTCAGCTTAAGAATGCAGGTATGCTACTGGCTTTAACATAATCTATTATCAACTGTTGATATGTAAGAGATCTTGTCCTTTGCCTGAATTGGTTATAGTAACTAAATGTGCAGGTTTGAATATTGCTCTTACCATGTTTCTTCCTTGTTTATACTACAAATTCTCAAGGAAATGGGCCATTTGTTGACATGTTCTGGTCTTAACTGTCTGATACTGTGGTCTCATCAGTGGTTGCCCTTGGTTTCTTGTTTCATTTAGTCTGCTACATTAGTTATTCATTTATTGAATAAGTATGTTTGTCAGGTAACTAATTCAGTTACCTAGTTTTGAAAGGAATATGTTGTACTTTATAAATAAATAAATATTTTACAGTCATTGATAAAATGTTGGTTGACACTTGGTTAGTGATTTTTGGTCTTATGGGACAATATTGATAACTGTGAGTGTTTACTGCTTTAGATTTTTCCAGGCAATTTACTAGTTTAAATAAATAATGAATTGCAATTGTACGATACCATGTGTTGTAATATTATCTCTCATCGTAAGAAAAACACCTTTTCTAAATATTTCACAGGATTGTCAGTTTCTATGGCATCTCTGTATTCTGAGGCTGACTTATCAAAGCATCCACTTCCACGGACAGGGACAGATGTTGCCATCACAGAGACGGTTGTGTCTGCAGAAGGTGTGGCCCTCTCACTGCTCCGACAGTTTAGTGAGAAAAATCTGCCTCGGGCTTCAGACCTACAGTGGCTTGTTTCAGAGCAAGATGCACCTCAGCAGGTACAGTTCTGTATGCTTATAACAAGATCAAGCAAGGTTAAAGTTAATAAAGGTGACTATTCACAGAATATTTGGTAAATAAAAGTAGAAAGTGGTGGTAGGTGAATTTTTAATGCAAGTATGTCTTTTGACCAAACTGAAAATTTCTCTTATTGTAAAACAAACAGTTTTATCCACAACTTATCTTTATCTTGTCACTTCATACTCACTGCTTACTGAAAATGTATTTTGCTCTTTATAGAGCTGATCTTATGTTCATTGATGTTTATTGTGATTTTTTTATATATTAGCTGTTACCATTGCCAATGAGTTGGCCAGTAAGTCCAGATGAAGCTGAAGATTTAGATATGCAACAAGCAACACCTTTACGGGGTACCATTGAGTGGGCTCCACCCCGCCCACAGGTCATCTTCACACCTCACCCTCCCCCAGTGTAAGTATAACTCATGAACACACCTTGAATCATCATGGCATCTAGGCCTCTTTTCTGAGATCTGTTTTACTACATACAGTACTTTGTAGCACATCTGTATTGAACCAAAATGGGTCTATACTTTTATGTTTTGCAGCCGCAGAGTTCTGATGGTGAAGCAGAATTATAGGTGTGCAGGCTGTGGAATGAAGGTGGCTCAAGAATATGCCAACAGATTTCGTTATTGTGAGTATCTTGGCCGATATTTCTGTACTGGCTGCCATACAAACCAGCTTGCAGTCATCCCAGGGAAGGTACTCACCAAGTGGGACTTCACACGGTGGGTTTTTGGTACAGAGGGCATGAAATGGTTGAATATATTTGCTACATCACTTTGAGTGAATATTTTATGGACTTCAGTATTTTCATGGTACCTTATTGGGGTTATGTTCTCTTTCAGGTACCCTGTATCAAGTTTCTCATACCGGTTACTAGATCAGATGTTGGGTGATCCATTATTTGCTATTGGAGATGTGAGTCCTGGTCTGTACCGTAAAGCCAGGCAGCTTGAACGCACCCGGCAACTTCGTATGCAGCTTTATTACTTAAAAGACTTTGTGCTGACTTGCAGATTTGCTGAACAGTAAGTACTGATTTCTATTTGTGTGTAGAAATTTATAACATACATGACATAAAGCATTTGATTCATATGTTTTGTTTAAAATATTTGTGTACTATTTTAGTATTAATTGTTAATCAGAGGATGATAGATAAAGATTATGGCAAGCAGGATTTCTTTTCTGTAATGCGTTATATAAGCTGCAAGCAACAGTAAATACCTGTTACTGACTCTGTTAGGAGTAAGGGTTGAGACTCATAAAAAAAGTCACACAGAACTTACCAGATTTTCATGTAGGAGGACACTCTTAGAATACCAGATCCCTATAGGACAGTTTCCACAACTGGTGTGCTGCCACAAGATGTCAGGTGTATTGCGAGTTTTTATAAGAAATTGTATATTCACGCATCATAGTTAGAAAAAGACAATATCTTATCTTTCATAATTATGATTCATAATACACACACACAGGTTCACCATTGATAGTTGTATTCAGCATGTGTTACAATATATTTCCATATGCCTACACACTTAAAGGGGCAAAGATTTGTATGTAGATATATATAGGTATCCCAAAAAGATGTACACACAGCAGCAGCTTTGGTGAAACTAACAGTAATAATTTTGAACACCTACACTAGATTTTCTAATTCACCAAGTGCCATTGATGATGTATGTAATGGTTCAATTTATTAAAATGTCTTTATTTCATTTGTTGAATGTGTGTATACACCTTTTTGGGACACTCTGTGTTTATGACCATGCATAATTTTGTAACCTCTTTTCATGAGGCCATCTTGTGTTTTGACAAGTTACGATGTGCTACAGGCGAAGAAAGTTTGCAGAACACTGTTGTAGGGCACACTTCTTGTTATTTGTGTAATTTGAGAATCACCACTGCAACAGTAGCCTTTCACCTTCATAAAACTGTACTGTGTAAGGAATTGTACCATTCAGCCATAGTGATGTATTACTGTGGCTTTTTATTATTTTACAAAATAATGCACTGACTGTGTGGTACCAAAAGATCATTGTCATCAAGAGACTGCTGTTGGACCTTATCCTGAGCATATTCAATCCATTTCACATTTTATACAATACACTGTGCCACTTATTTTCCCAAGGAGTCTCTTGGGTTAGCTAGTGAGAAAATTGTTTACATTTTTATATTCCGTAAGTCCTACAAAATAATTGGGGACTTCTTTCATTTTTATCTTCCCTTAGTCCTACAAAATAATTGGGGACTTCTTTTTTTATGTCACATTTCCATGGTAGGATGGGTCTCTTCTTAACACAGTATTGTGTGTTCTCAGGTTTCAGATGGAGGTGGCTTCCAGATATGGCGGGTAGCTGTGTAAATATTGAATAAGCAGTAACAGACACGTTACAGATGGTGGTTTGGGAATATAAAGTGTTACATAGGTCTTGGTTAGGCTAACGTGAACACTGGTTCCATAAAATATGGGGGATGTGAGGAATTTCTGGACTAGTTGAGTGTACTGTCAGCTTCTCAAGAAGAGCTGTGCTCCTTGGATTTAGTTATTGTTTGGTTGTCTGTAACATTTAAGCTTCATACTGTGTGTTCTTGTTAAATGATGACATTTAAATCAGAAGTGAAATGGGTAAAGAGAATGTTTAAATTGTTTCTTTCAGTGTAGAATTACTGACATTTGATTAGTTTGCAGGAAGCTCTTCATAAGGAATCAGCATATTTGTTGACAGAGCTTGACATCTACTCAATGCAGGATCTAGTTGAGGTGAAGAGTGGAGAGATGGCAACAAGACTGAGGAAGCTAGTTAGTAACAGTTCCCAGCATGTAGCAGACTGTCTGGTGGGTTCCACTTGTTTGTTTGTATATTATCATCCATATAACTCCCCTGCTCTCCATTGTGTGACACAGCAAATCTACTTATAAAGTGTCTAAAAATTAACCGCTTTTTTAAGTAAAAAGTAATTCATTTTCACATGGAATTTGTGTTCTCTCACTGAGTGGGGAAGAGAGAGAAAAAGCTAGAGAAAGAAATGATGATAACACTTTGGCATGCCAGTCTTAAAAATGGAATTAATTTGTTTGAGAACTTGTGTTAAAATTTTGACGTTTCTTTTATTCCAGTTGTGTCAGGCTCGAGGGTTTGTTTGTGAACTATGTGCTTCTCAGGAAGTGATCTTTCCATGGCAGCTCAATAAAGTTGCTCGATGCTCCAGCTGTGGTGCCTGTTTCCACACTGCATGTTGGACTCCCTCTCCTTGCCCACGATGCACTCGCCTAAGTGCTCGGAGGCAGAGCCGTGTATCAGAGATTGATGCAGATATACAGGCTGTTTGACACTGGCTTTTATGTTAGTTGTGTTTTCTTATTAATTCACATCACTGCTTTGTCAGGAAGAATGTAGCATATTGATTAAGTTATAGTTGGTGAATATTATAATACTGTTCTATAGAAAAGCAATATGTGTACATTAAACACCCTAAATTGCTAGTTACCTGTGGTAAATTTCTAACACTTTTCCTAAATATAATATATAACTGTAAATATAATAATAGTAGAATTTCACATGGATGTGTAGAGGTTTGTAATTTTTGCACCTGTTGCATATTGATTTTTTCTCAATTTACAGTTCACCATGTGGTATTGCTCACAAGTGGCACCGCACCAGTTGCAGATAAAATTTTCATTCAGTTTGTGGAATTACTTTTGATTGCACATCTGATGGTGGAAACTGAATTTTGAGGCTGGTCGTAATTTATATTGGTTCGTTGTCAGTTTATCATTGACTTTGTCCCATAGAATTTGCCTCCCTGTGGTAAATGTGATTGATGCAGTTTTAGGTGGTAGGAGTAGCTGCAGTCTTTAGTCATCAATCAGGAAGGATTAAATAATTAAGATTTGAGGTTTTCACGGTGCAACAACCCAGTAGACGGCCATCTTCATGAAGGATTCCTTTGCCAGATCATATGCCAGTCCCAGTGCTATGAATATGATATTTTTGTCACTGTCTTGATGTATGTTGCTTTTGTGGTTTCTATGACAGCAAGATTTTTTGAGTTAAAAGTACCCATATTAACATCAGTCCTTGGGTTAAAATTGGTAAAATTTTTACTGCGAAGAGTCTAGGGCCAATGACTTGATATATCTATGTTCTGTGTAACTTTTGTTGCTGTCTATAACTTTTTTTATGTGTTTTGTAAATGATGTCCCTGTAGTCTGTAGAGTTATTCTGGGGTATTTGAACAAGCTTTTGTTGCTGAGTTCTGTATTTAGGTTTTTTATATGGTTACTTGAAGGAAGCATGCCTCCCTTCTCGAAAACCATCATAATTGTTTCCCCTTGACTGATTTAAAATTAATGTTCTTGAGCTCATTTTGTTAATCTGTCAAAACTTTGCTGCAGGTCATCTATATATCTTGCTGTGATTGCCATATCATTTCCATACATGTATAGGGAGCTGGACCCTCCATGAAGCTTTTTGTCCTTTAGTATGCCATTAGTCGGGGCCATATTGAAGAGAGAAGGGGCCTCAGTTGGTCACCTTAGAGCACCTTATTGGTCTTTGTAGTGGCTTGTGATATGGTGATTCTGTTGTCTGCCTTGATGTAGTTTACTGCAAGGATGTTGGCTGTGGTCTTTATTGTGTATAATGGACTCTTCTCAGGCTACGAGCCATGTCAAATGGTTGAATGGAGAAAACACCAACGTGTGAGGAACCATCTTTGTCTTTATCCTCAGGGTAATGAAGTTCAGTACCATGAGATGTTTCTTGAAACAGTGTTTTCCCCATTAAACCACCTCACATGGCTGGTAGCCAGAAAAGAATTCATTATACTTAGTTGCCGTTAAAGCTTCAGATCATACTTTGTTATGTATTTTTCTTCTATGATTTTAACTAATTTCCTCAGGAGTTATTCTCTGTTCATCAGATCAGCTGCTGTAGTATATTCTATGAGAATTTCATATGGTCTTCCCCTTGGTTGATTTAAGGTGTTGTTGATATCTCTCAGCAAATATTGTATTATGTGAAGAGTGCATCTTCCTTTCCTGAACTCAGATTGGTTTTCTGAGATTTTATCATTGCCCATATCTGATGGCCTGTAAGTTAAGAGTTTTGTGATGATTTTGAAAATGTTGCATTCTAGTGCAGTTCCCTGGAGTTATCTGCAGATTTTGTATCTGCTTTCCGTCTGTAAGATGCCTTGATATTGGAGTGTCTCCATGGTCTGTAATATTTCCCTGCTGGGATACACTTGTTGAACAGTGCTGCCTAACAGTTATGTTGGTTTGGCATGCTTGAAATATGTAGTCAGTTCCTGCTGTCATACAATTTTCTGCTTCTTCTTTAGTGAATAGAATGAAATAGTTACTTGCTGAATTTGGGGTCTCCTTTTGTGTAAGCTTTTGGTTTGGAATTTCTCCGAATGTTGTTTCTGTGGGAATAAGGTTTTCTTGTCTTTAAAGCCATAAAGATATGTTTTCTTGCTTCCTTGATTTGCTTGTTGGCTTTCATTTCCATATGTTGTCCATTTTTATTTTATCAGACCTTATATTCCTTGTGTCAGGTTGCATAGATTTCCATTTGCATGGAGAGCTTTGAGGGTTTACAAGCTTTGTAGCACTCTTTATTGAACCATATCATTGCCTTTAGTTTGTTTTTGGTGCATATCTGGAGTGTTGCTTATTTATTCGTGGCTCCTATATTGGTGTGGGTGTTTGTTGGATGACCATTCTTTATTTCTTTGGGTATTGTTTCTGATGTGTTGAGTATGAGTTCTGTGCCGATTTTCCTCAGTGGCTTCGTCTTTACTTCTGGGTTTTGGAGCGTCTAGGCCGTTGCGAATTTTAAATTTGCTGTGCGGTAGATGTTTTCTCATGATCAATAATACTTTGTCTCACACCTACTACACCATTCATTGTGAAAACTATGTCTGTTGCACGTGACGTTGTGGGAGATATACGGTATTGTCGCGTGTAAAACATATTTTTTTGACAAGAATTCACCGTCCAAAATTGGGGCGCGACGTATACAGTAATATTGTTTTTTCCTATAAAAGTTAGATCGTAGGGAAAAAAGGTCGTGAGTGTAGGCAACTGAGCCCGCGACGTCGGTGTTGTATGTTGTGAAACCCCCAGTAGAGGTCGTTTGTAGTATTAGAGGTTTTTACGGCGGTGAGTCTGAAGATGGCTGTCTTCTGGATTTCGTTGTGTAGACTGGTAGTTTACCGATCTTTCAGATATCCTTGCTGCCTCCATCATCAAGGTGTCGTGACATCACTGAGAAATTGCTGAAAATGCAGCGAAAGACAACGAAAGTGCCGCGAAAGCAATAGCAAATACTCTACTTTCGCACAGGTAAAACTAATGCAGCTTATATACTAGGTATTGTACCAAATTCTTTAAAAAAATCTGTTTGACAAATATGGCCTTTGTTTTCCAAGAAATTTAACATTTTATAATTTACAGCTTAATTTGTCTACTGTACAATTTAAGTCCCCAGTTAATATTATCTGCCCGTTTGTTGTAGTAGGACTTTGCAGTTAATCCATAATAACTTCTGTGCAGTAAAGTTGGATGTATGCACTGATTAGTGTTATGCTTTGTTTTTATGATTTGTATTTGTAAAATTTTGGTGGGGCTTACTGTAAATAGAGGCATAATAATGTATTTCATGTGCAAACTTTATTGAAGATTATGTGGCTTAAATTAGTAGTATTCCAATTACATCCACTATTGAAACAGCTAGTTGTGCCAGTCCAGGTCCGTGGTTCAATTCCCGAACGGACTGAAACTTGAGATGAGGGGTAAACCAGGCTTTGGCATATTAATCTGGTTTATATGAACGAAGGAGGTGTGATTAGATGATACTTGGTACACCTCACTTCATCAAAATTTGAGTGATTTTATTAA